GTTTTCCTTCTGACTGGGAAAGTGGCAACATAATACCCATTTTTAAAAAGGGGGGGGAAAAAGGAAGACCTGGGGAACTACAGGCCAATCAGCCTCACCTCTGTGTCCAGCGAGATCACAGAGTGTATCCTCCTGGAAACTGTGCTAGGGCACATGGAAAATAAGATAATTGGTGACAGCCAACATGACTTCACTAAGGGCAAATCGTGCCTGACAACTTTGGTGGCTTTGTATGATGGAGTTATAGCGGTGGTGGATAAGGGAAGAGCAACTGGTGGCATCTACTTGGACTTGTGCAAAGCATTCGACACTGTTCCACATGACATCCTGGGCTCCAAATTGGGAAGACGTGGATTTGACAGGTGGACCACTCGGTGGATAGGGAATTGTCTGGATGGTTGCACTCAAAGAGTTGCGGTCAACAGCTCAATGTCTGAGTGGAGACCAGTGACGAGTGGCATTCCTCAGGGGTAGGTACTGGGACTGGTGCTGTTTAACATCTTTGCCGGCGACATAGACGGGGGATCGAGGGCCCCCTCAGCAGGTTTGCCAACGACACCAAGCTGTGTGGTGCAGTTGACATGCTGGAGGGAAGGGAGGCCATCCAGAGGGACCTGGACAGGGAAGGGAGGCCATCCAGAGGGACCTGGACAGGCTGGAGCAGTGGGCCCAGGCCAACCTCATGAGTTCCAACAAGGCCAAGTGCAAGGTCCTGCACTGGGGTTAGGGCAATCCCAAGCATGAATACAGGCTGGAGGATGAGTGGATCGAGAGCAGCCCTGTGAAAAAGGACTTGGGGGTGCTGGTTGAGGAGAAGCTTAATGTGACCTGGCGACTGTGTGCTTGCAGCCCGGAAAGCCAACTGTATCCTGCACTGCATCACCTGCTGCTGCACTCTTATGAGACCCCACCTGCAGTACTGCATTCAGCTCTGGGGGCCCCAGCATCAGACAGACATGGAGCTGCTCGAACCGGTCCAGAGGGAGGGACAAGAAGATGCACTGCCCCACTGAGGACAGGCTGAGAGAGTTGGGGTTGTTCAGCCTGGAGAAGAGAAGGCTCTGGGGAGACCTTATAGTGGGCTTCCAGTGCTGAGAGGGGGCCTATAGGAAAGATGGGGAGGGACCCTTTATCAGGAAGTATAGTGATAGGAAAAGGGCTAATGGCTTCAAACTGAAAGAGGGGAAATTTAGATGAGGTATTGGGAAGAAATTCTTCACTGTGAGGGTGGTGAGACACTGGAATAGGTTTGCCCAGAGAAGCTGTGGCTGCCCCCTCCCTGGCAGTGCTCAAGACCAGGTTGGACAGGGCTTGGAGCAACCTGGTGTAGTGGGAGGTGTCCCTGCCCATGGCAGGGGGGTTGCACGAGGTGGTCTTTGAGGTCTTTTCCAACCCAAACCACGCTATGATTCTGTATTTGTGATTCATGATAAGGAAAACAAAAAACAAAACCCAACAAACTTCAGGCCTTACAAAAGGATGTAAAAATCAAGATTCTTATTTAGCAAGAAATACTCGCAGCAGATCAGCAATAATTTCTATTAGAATATAAAAATTACTGTGTATTCATTTATAGTATTCCTTTTTAAGCAAGCGCCCACTTTTAACCCATTTAACATTTCAGAAAAAGCATACAGTACTTTACTACATGTAGACTTACTTTTCCGCTTAGAAGTCCATGCTCATTTGTCTTTATGGAGTTATGTGGGCTCCACAGCAATGAACAGTTTGACAAGACACAGGTCAAAGACAAGCATCTGAAGGACTAATGTGCCTGTCTTTTCTCCCTGCTCCCTACCACCACATACACAATTCTTCCAGTCCAGGCAAGTCTGAAGTCTTTGAAGTATGTAACTAAAGCGTAACAAGGAAACTGTTGTTACCTTTTGTGGGGCTGACAGTAAGACCATCAGAGGCATCCAGTACACTTGTTAAGGGTTAGGCATGCCTCAGTATTCCAATAAGGGATTAAAACCTTGCAGTATGGGAGAGAATGTCTAAGGTGCACTCTCAGCACAGGATTTCAAATAGTTGCTCCTGAGGAAAGTGGAGAATTTTGCTGTATTGAGAGCACCTTAAGTATTCCTTCGAGGAAAAAAAAAAAAACAAAACAAAACACACCACCCAAAACCTAAGGTTTTCAGGAGTTTAGAACAAATCTAATCTAGATTTCCTAGAAGCTGAATGCTTCACATGTGAATTGTCACTGAGTGATTACTTTTAAAGTATGTCTTTCTAAATGCTAGAGCGTTGAAGGTGCCAGGTGTTCAACAGGTGTGTAGGGATAACAAAGTTCACTTAAAGAACTGAAATTCAGTGAAGAATATAACCCACACCTATTCCCAGTATCTTTTTTTTCCACCAAAATTAGTCTCGGTCTCAAGTATTAAAAACATCACTGAACAAATGAGAAAGGTTTGAGTCACATACCAGGACGGCACTTCTTCCATGGAAAGCAACAGATAAGCTCAACTGCTAACAGAGGCAACACGTTAAGAGCATGCATGCAGGGATCTGCCACAGGCCAGTTAGCACCACATCAACTTAATCTTCTAGGAGACAAGGACTAGGTTCCCATACTTACTATACAATATATAGGTTCAGCTCATCTACAACCTGTGTTTCCAGGTAAAAATTGCAAGTGATTGCTTGCAGAAGTACACTGTCCTGGTCTGCAGCTGGTGGGCGTGACTGGTGGTGTGACCCTTCTGGCTGATGAGTTCCAAAGGCAGGAAGGCAAAACACCAAGAAGACATCCTGAGTCTTGTTGTGGCTTCTGACACTTAGTGTTATTTCATCGGTTTCAACAAACATCAAACTCAGGATTTAAACACAGTCCGAAAGCCTTTTAAAAGGGCATTTACTGAGTATGGGTTTTAAGTGAGTTGCCTTTATCAACGGACTTAAAAAGCGTAAGTATTTCAGATGCAGAGTATCTTCCTGAAGAGTCTCTTGAAAGCATCTTTTTGATTATGGGTGCCTGCAAAAAGAAATTAAATGTCAAGAAATTATTTTTTATGAGTAAGCAAGCTAACTGAAATATTAAAATCCCATACCTCTGCTGGAAATTGGTTGGTGAAGCTCTGTGGAAGTCGACCTTCTCTAACATCAGGCCATACCTGAAATTCATAAAAGGGAACAGTTTCAGTATGTTCTCCTTGATTATATCTTGCATCTTACTTTATAGCCCATATAATTTACTGAAGCAATTAGGAAAATACAAATCTACAAAAAAGGTAAGGCTTCAAAAAGAAAGTAACTGTAAAGAGTTTGAAACTTTTTTTCCATTTAGTTGTACTTTGTTTTTTACAATCTTTTCGTCAACTGTTGTCCCTTTTTAAGCTTAAACGCTTCACACTCTACAATGGTGTGTTTGTTTCAGCAATCCTCCCTATTTCAGAACCATTCTCCTTTTTTCCGTAATTTAAAAGTAATGGGTTTATTAAATTCCTCTTACCACATTAAAAAACAAAAGCAAGATGACTAATTTCCTACTTTGGATGTTACTATTTGCAAGCCAGGCAGGTGGCTTCCCCCCTTTTACCTTGTTCAGGACCACACACTTACTTCTGTGTCACTGCATAAAATGCTACATGGAGTTCCAAGCAACATACAGAGGACTTCTAATTATATGCTCACAGAAACTGTTTCTGGGTAACAACTATTTATTTCCACATGTAGCTTTCTCTGTAAACAGAGCAGTCCCCAGCATTCGCTTCTCTATTAACTAGGGTAATGTGTGCCTGAAGAAGACAGCAGTCATTCTTGCATGCTTAGCCATGTGTCCCAAATCATTTGCTAGACTTGTGGATGCTACAGCCTGGCTTAGCAAGCCCTTAGAACCAGTGTCCAGTAAAACAACAGCTCCCATGAACTTCAAGCTTTTTCCCTACTCGTCAGCAGTAGCTTTACGTCTGTGACCCTTCGTGCTGGTGATCATCACCTGACCTAGTTCGTCAGCTCATAATCATGAACTTTACTTTTGCACGATGTCCTTTCAGCAGGGCTTGTCAGCACCATACAGAGTTTATCACGCTCAGTTAAGTGAAATTATTTTGTAAGCTGATAGAGCAGCTGAAGACCATCCTAGGACTTTCCATCCACGTGACTTCCCCACCTGCCTACAGGCATGAGATTTTTATGCTTTAAGGAAACAAGACTAAATAATTGGGTTTGCCCTTTTGACTGTAAACGCTGTGGGACTGTGGACACATTTGCACAGTCAGCTGTGGGCAGGAGCAAGAGGTCTTAGAAAATACTACAAGGCAGCTAAACAGAGCCCAGTTGAACCTGCAAGTTGAGCAGATGCATTGGTATGGTTTTCTCTTATTGGCAAAAGGACCAAGCTAATGGTGTTCAAGGGCTTCTGGGCCTGACGACATACGTGCATCTTGCAGTTACATCGCTGTCCTACGAAGATGTAGGTTTGAGCATGCGAGGCATTACACTAATAATGTGCAAAGTACCAAGAAAAAGCAAGACACGTAAAAGATACCTTTTCAAAAAAAGCTTAAGTAACGTTGGTTTTCTTTTTGAAGTAACATCTCTTTCAATTAAAGCTACATAGTCGAAATCATTTTTGTTTTCATTTTGTAAAACTGCAACTGTTTTGGCTTGATAGAAACTTTATTCTTGCTCCACTGTGCAGTGAAGGCAACAGCGTGGCAGAGACAAAACTCTCCCATAATTTTTATTTTAGAAAATTAGAAAAAATATTCCTTTCAAATACTCTGATCAAACAAAAAGACTATCAGAAACCTAAAATCTTTTTTGCTAGACATCACTCTTTAGCATGCTCAGGCTTTAATGTGTATGTCAGGAGGACATAAGTGAAAAATCAGTAATATTTCTTTACTTCAGTTAACTACATTTCAGCTGAGGTGTGAGGACTTACAGGCCTTACAGAAATGAATCACAGGGAAAATGTAAATAGAGACAGTACTCCAGATATATATAGATTCCTTCTAGCATGCAATACCAGCAGCAAGGCAAACCAATGACAGTGAGACTTGGTTTTTTTAATTAAAAAATTACATACCTTCATTTTCTCATGATGACTGCATGCCGAAAGAATTTCAAACCAAATTAATCCAAGTGCATAAATATCTACTTCTTTTCCATATTTGTCCCCAGACTACAAAGATTAGAACAAGAACAATATAGGTGTCAAATCACTGGACAGTTCTTCTTAAAGCAAAATTCTAAGTCAGTAGACATTTCCACCCCAAGGCTACAGGACTGGTCCTACCTGATAACCTTAGTAGTTGTTAACCCTTTCTGCTACAGGCCTGTTAAATAGGGACTGTTACGTCACATGAAACACACTTGACTTCTCCAGACCCATACAAAGAAGGCATGCCAATATATCTCTGTCACAAGCAATGAAAGACATGGAAGGACTTAAAAGCTACAGTTAACAGAGGTCCTAAATTCAAACTGAAAATCATGGCTGGCAGCCTGGTTTTGCACAAGCACCCCTTACAGCACGCAGTGTCAGACCCTGTAGGTTAGCACAGCGAAATACAATCACCACACTGGCAGACAGCTTTCTCCAGAATACCGTTATCCTCGTATACAGTCATACCAGGGAACTTTAGGTCACTTGGTTTAATACCGAGATTAGGATTGAGAACGTCCAATGCAGAGTTTATAATGCAAATCTAGTTACAGAGACACTAATGTAGCAGGATAATTACCTGTTCTGGTGCCATATATGATTTTGTTCCTCTGTTCTCAGTCAGAGTCCCATACTCCAGAGAAGTCACAAGACCAAAGTCACCTATTTTTATTTTATCTTCACGTGATATGAATATATTCTGAGGCTATTAAAAAAAAAAAAAAAAAACCACCACAACTACCATATGACCAAGGTTTATCATCCAGCATAATCAGCCACGGAAGTATTCCTCATAAAATTAGATAATTGTTCACAGAAATTAGCATTAAAAAACCAGTGGGGTGGGAAACAAAAAAGTTCAATAAATTTTTAAAAACACAAACTAAATTTAAAGTAGTACATGCCACAGTAACTGCAACTTTTTTTTCCCCACTAGCTCAGTCATAACCGTATCATGCTTTAATGCTCTTCAGAGACATTGTGCATGTAACATTTCATATCCAGCAGTGCTTTTTAGTCTTCAGTCCCAGCACGGGGATTTGCTATGCTCAGGCAAAGCATTTAGGCTCACGGAATTCCACTCAAATCGTGGTTTCTCCTAGGCACAGCAGGATTATCTGTACTACATCAATTGCAGAGCTAGGGCTTACTACAGGCATCTCACACTCGCTTTTAAGTTTCCATTGAACTTCCCATTTTTAAATTCAAGAAAGTCATAAGCTACCAAAAATGGAATTGTATATGCTTGGATGAAGTTTCACAAAGAAGATAAACTACATTTCTGAATGTTACTAAAACAAAACCGAATAGCCTCATGCTATCTTTTACTCAAAGGAACTCCAGTGGACTGTAAGGCCAGGAGGCCGATTTATTTAACAGCAAGAGATCTTTGTATCGCCAAGAACGCCAAATGCAGTTCTGTTCAAGTTGGACCACGTCCACCCACATTTAGTACAGTACCTATACCTGGCTACACTATTTGAAGACTCCATTCATAGCAGACACAAAGGGGATTCATCTCGGCTTGAACCTATCCTGCAGCTTTGATTCTGGGACATGGAGATCTCAGATGGCCAAGCATTTAAGTTGACAGCAGATCTAAGTGGGGAGAAAAGTTCCCAAATTCAAATGCAGACAAACAAGTTAGCATTAGGACTTGGAGACAGGTATCAGCCGGATGCCATGGATAAGGGACTGGGACAGCAGATTCATAGGAATAGGGAAAAGTAGGAGATTGAGCTGAGATTATGAAAATAAAGTAGGACTGAAGGAGCAAGAAAATAGAAAGCACATAGAGTAGGAAGAGCTGAGAATAAATGAGTGAGGAAAGAAGGCACTTAGTAGGCCTCTTTTTCCTAGGCATCCAGGGAAAATGATGAGTGTAATATTTATGGTTCATTCCAGTATTGTAGCAATAAGACCAACAGAAAAGCTCTACAAGATAATGAATATTCTATGCCTGGGCAGTGAATGTGATCTGGACCTGCACTGCAAATGCAAAATGCAAACAATTTCAATCTCTAGCTCGAGAAGTCCATGAACTTCATGTTACTGGAAGTCTTGAGAGGCAGGGAATATGCATCAAGGACAGCATCACTGTCATCTCTCAGCTCTAATAATCTGCAGGTGTTGAAATTAGCCACTATACAAGGAGAACAGCATGCTAGATCAACATATGATGTTACTCACTACAGCCATTTTTAGGAATACCACCACACTAGTGACTTTATTCACAAAGCGAGCGATTTAAAACTCTGTAAGCAACGTTATAGCTGTCATATGAAGCCCTGAAGGCTTGCAACTTTGTCCTTTATAATCCTTATATTGAAATAAAATCTTTTTATGATTGTGCACTTGTAGAGACTGAAATTCTATCCAGAAAAGTAGCATTCAAATATTTGTATACATAGGCGATACAAGAGCAACTAGAGTATGTTTTGTAGCGTATGTATTGATGGTCAGAGGGTTGGAATGCCTTCCCTACAAGGCAGGCTGAGAGAGTTGGGGTTGTTCAGCCTGGAGAAGAGAAGGCTCCGGGGAGATCTTATAGCGGCCTTCAGGGGGCCTGCAGGAAAGGTGGGGAGGGACTTTTTACAAGGGCCTGCAGGGACAGGACGAGGGTTGATGGTTGGAAGCTGGGAGAGGGCAGGTTTAGACTAGATACAAGGAAGAAGTTCTTCACCCTGAGGGTGGTGAGACACTGGGACAGGTTGCCTGAGGAAGCTGTGGATGCTCCATCCCTGGCAGTGCTCAAGGCCAAGTTGGATGGGGCTTGGAGCAACCTGGTCTGGTGGGAGGTGTCTCTGCCATGGCAGGGGGGCTGGAATCAGGTGGTCTTTGAGGTCCCTTCCAACCCAAACCACGCTATGGTTCTATGTTGTTACCAAAGAGCATGTATTAGGATAGATAAATTATCCCTTTACAATATGGCAAAAGCAAACTTCCTAGACTCAACTTTTCACTTTCTTTCTTTTAATTATTTTTATCAAGTACAGTTAGCATTTCTTTTTCCAATAGGTGGTCTTGTGACCCAGGAACATATACTGAAAAAGATACTGATGACTACTGATTTTTTTGAGCTACTACATTCTGAGATCCTGCAGTTTACCATCCAGTTCTCATTTTAGGATGCCGTCCAACCAGTTGCTGAAAAAATCCTGATGACTAGCAATATCAGAAGAGGCATGCTACCAGGGTACATAATAGAGTAAACAAAGACTAGAACAATTTAACATCTTCTGAAATTCCAGTAAGTACTATATTTATCTGATTTTTTTTAATTACCTATCCTACTTACCTTGAGGTCTCGATGAATTAACCCTTCAGAATGAATATATTGCACTCCTTTCAGTAATTGTAAACATTTGTTTTGTGCCATCTCATGATACTTTCTGTCTCGTCTATTTTTTTCAATCCAGTTTTCCAATGGCCCTTGTTCACATAATTCCATTTGGATGAAAAGACAGATAATTTCTTTGTCCGACTTCTGCCTGCAAAAGAAAATTATATACCATGGTGAAATTGGCAAGATACAATTTCTCCCAAGCCACCAATGATTCTTAGATTCCTCCTCTTTAAAAAAGATTTTTTGTTATTATTATTATTTTTGGAGTTCCCCAAAACAAAGTCTGCAAGTCCTTGATTTTAAAAAAGATCCTAGACCAATTTGTACTAGATATAAACAAACAGAACTGCAAACCAAAGAATCCCTCCTCAGTTGCTACATACCCCTGGACCATTCCTAATGTTTTGCTTGCTTCCTTGTTCACACTGAAAGTTTCCCGAGTGCCCAAATTCTGCTCCCCTCCTGTCTAGAGGCATGTCCTCTACAGGAAGAAAAGCACTGTCCTTGGCTTCCATCTTGCCCTCTAGGAGCTGCTGCACGTCCCTGGCAGGCATTCTCTATTCTGCTCAACAAACACAGCATTAGCCTTCCTTTCCTACCCAGTGTGATCACATTCTTTCAGGCTCTGTCCCTTCAAGAGGGTAGTGCGGTGACCATCTTTGACATCGGTCTGCGGGTTAGAGAAACCCTGCCGAGAGCTGGAAGTCTACATGAGACGTATCCGCCCACCTGACAGCCTCACACTCCCCAGAAGAGCTCCCTCCCCATCAGCCCACAGGACAGGCTAAGGCTGGAGACGGTGGGGGAAGGACAGTAGGAAGAGAAGGCGGCACCACTTTCTCCCACTTGCACGGTGTGATCCAAGTGCCCGGGAATAAAGCTGCCCGAGGCGCTGAAAGAACAAGCGTTAAGTGGCTCAGGACTCTGTAGCCCTGAGGTCAGGGCAGTAAGTGGAATTCCAGGTTAGGACCTCAGCTTTGAGGATTTTTTTTCTGTCTTTTGCCCAATAACTGCTCAATACAAAATGCATAAATGATATTGAGACTCCAACATATTAATGGTTGGGTTTTGACACGAGACTTGTTTCCCCCCATTTTATTCCTTGTTTCCTGAGCACACTGGACAGATACCATGCCAACAATAATTTTGAATCCATTAATATTTTATGGCTCTAGGTAAGTGTGCCAACGTATCTGAAGGGTATGAGTTTACAGCTAGTGAAAAAAACCATACCGCAGAAGCTTTGAAAAGTTAATAATCCAACTCACAAGTAAAACTTTCACCACTGTCTTCCCCAAAGTCTTAGTGTTGAAAGACTACCTCTAAATGAAAGAGCATTTAATTTTGTATTTCTGTTCTCAACAACCAAAGCTGTTTCAGGCATCACGGTTAAAATGCTAACTTTGAGAAATAATAAAATCTATGAGAGCTGCTGGCTGACCAGTACTCATTAAAAAACCGAAACTTCCAATCAGGAATCTGGCAGCCAACTGCCAGACAATTTTTTTAAGTTTCTGTTGTTAATTCTAGCCCCAAATTTTGAGTTCTGCATTCTTACACTCCTCTATAGATTGAGCAAGTTCTGCATATTGAGAGGAGAAAGATAAAATTACATGATGCATCTTATTTGTCAAGGAAAAAAAGATATATACATACTTAATTATATACAACCTGCTGCTGCGAAGTACTGTGCCTCTTTTCCTAACAGTAAGTACATAAGTATGTGTATGCTTATATTTGTATAACGATTTGTAACCAATCATTGGCCTTTCATTTTCAACACAAAATTCACCATAGCAAACAAGTTTGTGAGTGTAAAGCACTTCTTGTAGTTACCTTGAGTCTGGATAAGTTACATAGTCGTATCCGTCCCAGCTACAATAATACCGCACTATGTTTTCATGCTCGAGTCTTGCAAGCTCTTTTACTTCACGCTCTACATTCCTATTTGGAGGAAGAAAAAGAGAGAAAAAAAAAAAAAAAAAAGGAATTTCTATAAAAATTTGATACTAAGTTAAATTAAAAGACATGATGTCAAGTAGCAGTATACAGGTAGTTTTACATTAATTTAGAAAAAGAACATAATATTCTCCTTCATACAAGTTCAAAACTGTAGTTACAAACTCTGTGCGTTTTCTTTCATCTGCTCATTTAGTCAAAGGCAAAAATGTTTTAACTGTATTAGAAATGAAAGCCCCACTCAAAAAAGCTGAAAAAAGCAGATAGTCGCAATGTGTAACTACATTAGGTAGCCAAACCCAACGTAGCAAACACCCACGTTTTCTTTTCACCTCTATGAAGTTTGCTTATGAACACAGCAGTCAGCGTAGCTGCTCATGAGGAACTGTTACTAAATTCGGCCTGCACTTGCTGTTGTAATGTAGCCTAGCGAAGCACGTTCAAACCCATCAGCAGACCAGCTGTCTTTATTTGAAGCACCAGTAGAATGTTTTTAGTATAGCTCTCAGGATTGCAACACAAAATAACATACATTTGTGAAGAACACAAGAATTTGGAGGGCAGTTACACAATGTAAGGGACAAGTATCTCCAACAACCTGAAACTTTTTGAACAGATTACCTCAAAGAAATTGAATTCTTTCAGCTGCTGATAAAATACCCCACTAGGTACTGGTTACAGAAAGTTACTTTTAAAAACAAAACTAAGACCATCACTCTCTGTGAGACTTACAAAGGACAAGTAACACAGAGTGAGAATAATACCTACGTGGGTCATATCTAAAGAACTTTCCAATTACAAACCACAAAATGTAATACTTTCATTTTTCTCTGTTTTCCCTAATTACAGTTGTTATGCATTACCAATATGTAAATTTTTCATGTAACCTGTCAGAAGTAACAGTGCTGCTTTCAATGTTTTGCTAATCAGCAAGTCTTCTCCAAACACATTTTGCAATGTTAATAACCAGAGCACTAGTGCGGTCAGGGAAAGTAGAACTAAACAAATCTACGTTTTTACAGCCGCATCTGAAATTATTCCAATGCACGCCATTTTCAGCTTCACTTAGAAATGAAGAAAACAGTTTACCAGAAAGAAGTGACAATTAATAATGAAAATTGCTTAAATGCTCCTAGGATTATTAGAGACAAAACTAAGTACTAAGATCTTGATTGAGGTTGTCCTAAACTAAAAAACAGAAGTAGATATAAAGTACATACTTTGTGAATTGAACTCGTTTGACTGCATAGGTTCTCTCATCAAGCTTTGCTGTTGCTTTGAAAACATTCCCAAAACCACCTTCACCAATAGGCTCTATATTTTTAAAACTCTTGAGAAATCTTAAAAAAAAAAAAAACAACACAAAACCACAACTTAAGGATACTCAACATGACATTTACAAGAGATAAAAATGATCCTGACAGATCTAATATATCTGCCGAAATATTCTACTGGCACCACTCAACATCTATACAGGTCTAAATCATAGTCTTGAAGGTTAAAAAAAACAAGGGAAACTGACCCTTAAAAGCATGTAGGATAATTACCCTCACATTTTCACACATGTGACTTTTGGTTGTAAGCATTAAATATCATTACGTGTCAGTTGCTATACTGTATTTGAAATTTCCAGGAAAAAAAAAAAAAAATCTCAAATAACAATTTTCTTTGAAAGTTGTTTTTACAGCAGTATTTTCCCACATTCTTTTACAAATAAACAAAAAATCTAGACCACTACATACTGTAATTGCCATACAGATCTTATTAAAGAAAAAAACCTTCTTACCTTTCATTCATAGTGTATGGACTTCCATTCTCCTCACTGGTATTTGTGTCCAAATCTGGCAAACCTTTACCTGAATCTGACATCTTTTTTTTCTCTTCATTATTTCTTCCATTATCAAAATTAGCTGCCAATTTTCTTTAAGAATAAAAGCAAAACTTACAATGCGCCATTTTTCTAATATGCGACAAGAGAAAAGAAATGTCCCTCCCGAAACCTTTACTAGATCTGGAAACACTGAAGTTGTTTGCAAGGCAGCTTATGGGAGACAGCAGTCTAGAAACAGACACATACCTTCTGGATTTCAGGGCAGAACTTGGTGCGTCTCTCTACATGAGAAAGAGAAAAAAAACCTAACTGAGATATCCCAAATATTTTCGCTATACTTAATTTAAAATGCATCTGAGAATGTCTCTAGGAATTGTCTATAAATGTGTTTATACCTTATACAAACAATGTACTAAGAGTGAAGCCGTACCTTAGCTTCAGTTTTTTCACATATGCTGTGTATGACATCATCATTCTTCCCACAGGAAAACATGAGCTTAGTTTGATCCCCTTTCTGGGGAGTACTGCCCATTTGGTCAGCAGCACAGAAACTGGGTCCACAGTATGGAAGTGAACGAGTGGTTGGCAGTGAGAAAGTACTGAATGTTCTTGGGAAAAACGCACATGTGCTTTCCAGTCAGTAGTGGGTAAAGGAACAAACTGACGCCACACTCTGAGGAGAGGCTTGCTCTGTTCAGGGTCTAAACGTAATTATGAGAAAGACCATTTTCACACTATACCTGACAAGGTAAAGGCTTTTGACCTGCCATGTCTCTCATTTTTTCTTCCAACTTTTCATCCGAGTTTTCAAAGCAAGTCCTGCTGTTAGTGAAAAATAATAGACTACTTTTAGGTGAAAGTAACACAATCATAAATAAAATTATTACCACAAGAAAAAAAGAAGCATAAAAAAATACATAATTTTCAAAAGCAAAACCTGAAAAAGCATTAACAGTCATGACTGATTGAAACTACAAAACTTTATGCTGGAAAGCTAATAAAAAAAATAACATTTTGTAATATACTCCTCTATTTCTATGATAGGATATCACGATACCTAGATATTTATATGACATATATTTTGTTATATCCTTTAATTAAATAGGATAAATAAGGATGTTTGTTTCAAGGCAGTGCAGCCACCCCCAGCATTGTACATATCGGCTTGCTTTACAATCGCACTGAGAACATCAACGAAGTGGTAGTGGCACTACAGTCAAATTAACTGCTGGACACAAAAGGCTTGACCTAGGGTTCCCCAATCACGCATGAAACTTTACGCATGTTCATTTTCTTTCGCTAAGCAAATTTTCCCTTTGATGGAAATGAAGATTTATAGGGAATGAAAAAGGGGGAAAAAAAAAAAAAACAAACACCATCAGAGAAGAAAGCAGAATGTGGAGCACAGGGAAGGACTGAAATTGAATTACACTGAGTTCACAAGAGTGTCACAACAGGAAAATGAGTGTTAAAAATGGCATGAAATAATGCTACTGAATGTTACTCTGTTTACATCACAGTAAGATTGCTTCTGACAGAACTACTCGTGACAAATATTAATATATTGGAAAGCTCTAAGCTAACCCATAAGGAGTCAAAATTGCACAAGTACAACAAATTTTGCTCTGAAGTTTAAGAAATACAAGCTCAAATTAAATGGCTTTACACTGCAATGAAGAAACTATGACAGATTTCATTTAGAACTAGATCACATGACCCTCTAAGATTAGTAAATACATTTTGTTATCACATCAGTGAACCAAACTTACTCCAAGTCAGACTGAGTTGGCACTCGAAAGGAATTACTATGTTTGCTAAATGTAGAATTGCTGTTAGATTTTTCACTTCCCATCTGAAAAAAACAACCAAACAAAACAGAATGGTTAACAAAATCCCATTAAAAAAAATCCCATGTGCAAAAGATAGAATCATAGAGTCCTTCACGTTGGAAAAGACCTTTGAGATCATCA